AAATTCATCAGTTGGATGTTAAGTCGGCCTTCTAAATGGCTACTTAAATGATGAGATATTTGTTGAACAACCTGATGGTTTTCTAGTGGCTGGAGCAGAGGATAAGGTCTATCAGTTGAAGAAGGCTTTGTATGGCTTGAAGCGGGCTCCGAGAGCCTGGTACAGTAGAACAGATGAACATTTGAGCTGTCTTGGTTTCAGTAAAATTGTTAATAAGCAAATACTTTATATTAAGCATGTGGAGGAAGAAGTGATTGTCATCTCTTTATATATTGATGATCTAATAATCGGCGGCAATCAAGCTTTAATTGAGCAAGTGAAAGATGAAATGAAGCAGTCATTTGAAATGAATGATCTTGAGAAAATGCAGTACTTTCTCAGCAAGGAATTAAATCAGTCTTAAGAAGGAATTTTTGTCAAAAGAGATATGTCAAAGAGATACTAAAGAAGTTTAGCATGGAAAACTGTAAACGTTCGCACTCCCTTGGTGCAAAACCTAAAGTTAATAAAGGATGATAGAGGCAGAAAGACTGATGAAACGATCTATAGAAGTTTGGTAGGAAGTCTTTTGTATTTAACCATCACTAGACTTGACATTATCTTTGGTGCAAATCTGCTGTCCAGATTTAGACAAGAACCAAGTGACGTGCATTTTCAAGCTGCAAAGAGAGTTCTTAGCTATATCAAAGGGAATGTAGAAATGGAAATTTGGTATAGGAAGTTAGGGAATCTGAAATTGGTTGGCTATACTAATAGTGATTAGGCTAGTTCCAATGATGATATGTAAAGTAATTCTGGTTATTTTTTTATTCGGGTTCAAGTATTATTTGCTGGAATTTAATGAAGCAAAAAACAGTTGCTCAATCAACTGCTGAGGCAGAGTATATTGCAACTTCAGAAGCAACTACCAAGTCATCTGGTTGAGGAAAGTTTTGGAGGATCTTATCTACGAACAATCTGATGCAATAGTCATTTATTGTGATAACCAATCAGCAGTTGCACTGGTTAAAAATCCGGTGTTTTATGGTAGAACAAAATACATCAAGATAGTATCATGCAATTAGGCAAGCACAAGAACATTTTGAAGTAAAGTTGGTGCTATGCTGACATTTTGACAAAGCCATTACCAAAGGAAAGATTTGAAACACTAAAAAAGTGTCTCTGCATTTTCAACAAAAGTGTCGAGGAGGAGGGTTGAAGTTGGCCGTGTAAGTGACACTTTTGTTGTCACTTAACAAATGTTTTTGGTTTCCATTTAGTCACACGTTTTGGCTTATGTCTAACTCATGTAATGATGTAAAGTTAAACTAGTTTGGACCTACTACAAGTTAAAGTATTGTCAAGTATTATTTAGTGGTAGTAGGTAGTGTGGTTGTTGGCAGAAAGTACTTTTGAATTGTATCAAATCATGGCTATATATTCAGCCTTGAAACACCATTGAAATATATAGAAAATTCCTCTGTTTTTCTCTCCTCTTGTTTGTTTAATATCTTACATTTCAGTCTATTTGGAATTTTAGAATACTAACAATTTTTAATTTTCGTCAGATCTCCATTGTAACGGGGTTGTTCATATTGCAAAATAGAGCTGTGGTAATTTTCTTGGTGGATTGATCTTACAAAACCGAACCTTTTAATGTTACCATCTAGTTCTGCCTGATTATATATCCATTTTATGTGCCTTAATTGAATTCTTCTGACAGGAACAACACCAAAGAGGAGCTGCCAATGGTATAGCCACAATGTTGATGTCACTTGGCAAAGCTGCAGGTCCAGCAGGAGGAGGAATACTGTGAGTTGCTTCAGTCACACAGATTCATCTTTTAATCTCTATTATACTTTTTTTAAAACAATCATTGTATCGAGTTCTCTTGTGGTGAGTAATTAGTATATTATAGCCTGAGGCCCTAATTTATAAAACACGCAATCCTATAATATTACATAATAAAATGGACTAGAGAATAGGAAGAACTCGTGATGCCTTCCAGGACAGCTTCAGTTGGGAAATTATTTTGTGGTATGAACAAAATATGACTTTCATGCTCTAAACTGTCCTTGTTTCATCAACTAATACAGGTTTTCCTGGTCAGAGAAGCGTCAGGATGCTGACTTCCTTCCAGGTACGTGAATAAGTTTATTGCCAGCAATCATACAACTTGATGTGCATAGGTAAGTATCTATTTTATTAGTTGTTTTGTAGGTATGTCATGGTGATAGTTTTGAACTTACTAAAAAAATGTATATTGAAGGTCTGGACCCAAATTTTATTTGTTGAAGATTGAAAACAGAAAAGATGATAAGAAGAAAGCTTTAGATTTCGCCCAAAAGTCTAGAATAGTTTTGCACTAAAAGACGGCAAAACCTCGTCTATTTCTGGGACTTGTCGGTTGTTATTTAGAGAAGTGTACACGAGTATTAATATACTCAAAAATCTCACATTCAACTGAACTCGAGCTCCACTTTTGAGGGACTACCAGTGCTCAATTCTACACCATCTCCAATTATAAATACACAATTTCTCTCCTTTGGGACTCTATAAATTGCAGATCAACTTACGATGAATTATATTCTCTTGTAAATACAATTTATTTGCTGTTATTTGCATCGAAATCCTCATGCCATATATTTTCGTGGTCATGCTCCAATTATTTACAAAATACAATTTTTCGATCTTCCAAAAGAAATCGGATGCTTTTTCAATGATCTTGACGATTGAAAGTGTTTCTCCCATTCCATTTCCATTCCTCTATGGTAGTGAAAATTCAAGTTGTTGAGGCTGTAGAACGAAGTTGACTAGGTATGTGTTTAGAATCCAATCAATTGATCCTTGCCATACCGAAATAAAACATATGGACATATTTTTATTAGCTTCCAGAGGTTGCTAACATTCTAGTAAACAAATGATTCTTTGGACCGTTAAATTTTTTCCACTTCAGAAATAACACCGGATTCGCCAATTTAAAACTTACTGTCTCCTTGAGGATCATTGGAGAGCCTTTCCTAAAGAAGTTCAATACTCTTTACTGTTTCCTTTTGGTACTTTATGAAGGAACTTGATTAAAGATAGATATAAGCTCTTGAGATTTCCAGACACTGGCTAGTCTTGATTTAATCCCTCTACCTTTTATGCTTTCTTGATAACCTCCATAGCAATATTCAGTTAATTTGCACTACTTTTAATTTGTATTAACAGGCTTAGAAACTTGCTTTGGTGTTCTCATAGACTGAATGTTTGTACTTCGTATCGCTGAAGCGTGACTATAATTTTATGCATATTTCTGGAACCAAACCATTTGATTTGTGCCTTCTTTTCACTGACTTCAAGTATCTCTAATAGTATGCAGTAATCACTGCTGTTTAGGATGTACCTTTTTGCTGTAGAATGTAATTTCTGCCTATCCACTTAAATCAGTCTAAAAGAGAATCTTCTGCTGGTATGAAATGCGTAGTCCACAAATTTCTCATGAAGCTCTCATTAATACATCACCTTTCATTATATGAAGAGATTGGTAGCAACTAGCATGCTTTCTGAGGATGATGATGTAGGACTTTCTGTTGACTTAGCTTTCATCTTCAACAGTACACTTTTCGTCTTCTATTACTTAAAGCACCAACCTTCGCCCTTGGGACAAAGGGTAGTCTTGTAAAATCTGTTTCCCTTGTGATCAACCAGAATTATAGTGCCTGAAATTTTTCCATGGAATTCTCTGAACTTGAGTCATAAATAATCCTTATATGAAATGCCCAATTTTCATTTCCACAATTGTTATGACAGAGAAGGATAGGAAAACTACACATTACATATAATGAAGAGAATACAATGAATTTATCTTTTGGGGATATAATGATTATCTCAAATTATTTTAAAGAAGGTCGAGGAGATTGCTATGTCTAGCTAGATCATCAATCATAATTCCATTTTCATACTAACATTTGACTTTTAAAGAATATGTATATCGAAATGTTAAGTAGAAGTATTTTGAAAATCTGGCAGTTTGGTTCTACTTGCATTCATTTTCCTTCATACTTTGTTCATCTATTATTGTGAAACTTCCTTTTTCTGTTCATCCAAGCTAAGTTAGCGTGGTTGATGAGATGCAGGTGACCAAATGGTGTTCTTTATCTTGAACATAATCGAGCTAGTCGGAGTGTTGATGACATTCCAACCGTTTTTAGTTCAACGGAGACAATGATTACTTCCCTTCGACTGCAATTCTTTTGCATTCCTACACAACTGATTATCTGTAATCCATTGTCATATCAGAAATAATTCTCCGGATCATAATCATTGTATTATACTTAATTGCATTTTTTTTGCTGTAATTGTGAGAGGCTCGTACTCACTTACGTTGGGAAATTATTTAATTTGTCATGTGAGTCAACATATGTAATTAATTATGTATAAAGACTATTTTAAAGTTAAGTCCAAAATTAAAGTGATCTAATGAAGAATTAAGTAAGGGAAAATTTTCTAATTAAGAAGTTTAGTTTTACTAATTTCAAATTTAAGACATTGAGTTTAAAATTTTAAATTTCAGAGTTTTTTAAATTTTACTTATAAATTAATTAACTAAATATATATTTTATTAATTAAATACATTAAGGTCACAATTTCATATAATTTGTGATAAATCACAAATTTTATATGTCACAAATTATTTTACAGTCACAATTCAAAAAATTTATATATCAT